AAAAAAAAAAAAAAAAAAAAAAAAAAAAAAAAAAAAAAAGTAATCCAGTCCAAATCAAGGTGTGTTGATGAGGAGCTATATGAACAGGGAGACTTTCATTCTTCCTTCCCTTTTAGACTGAAGTTTAAATTCAAGAGAGGCAGTGTTCCACCCGTGATGCCCCTGGAGTTTGTTGGTTGCATTGGAGGCTGCGATGAGATGCTAAAAGAGCTCTTGGACCTGAAGTATTTACACAGATCGTGCCAGTCTGCGTCGTCAGCCAGCCAGCAAGCGAATCACTTGCAGGTCAACAACTCTTTTAACCGAGCTAGTGGTGAAAACAGGCATGTGAGGGGGACCACAAACCTGGCACCAGGACATCTACTCTCTTTGAGCTCAACACGAACACCCAGGCCTGCTCCTTCAGCTGCTCCAGATGACGGGAACAACGCAGTGGTCTGCAACTGCGGGAACGAAGCCCTGCTGTTAACTGTGCGCAAAGAAGGGCCCAATCAAGGCAGGCAGTTTTACAAATGCAGCACCAGTACCTGCAACTTTTTTCTCTGGGCTGATCAGCAGTCAGAGGACAGAAGCAATGTGGCTCCACGGGGCTCTGCGCTTCCCCAGCCCTTTGCAGGAAGGGGCCCGGCAGGATTTCAGCGCCCAGGAGGAGGAGGAGGGAGAGGCCCAGAGCACTTTGGAAGCAACAGCTCCAATTCAGGAGGCAGCACAGTCTGCAAATGTGACCAGCCAACTGTCACACGCACCGTCCAAAAGGACGGACCCAACAAAGGGCGGCAGTTCCACACCTGCTCTAAACCCCGAGAGCAGCAGTGCGGCTTCTTCCAGTGGGCAGATGAAAACATGGCACCAGGTAAGGCTGGGCTTTGGGGTGAGGTGCAGGAGTTGGAGGCTGCTCTTGACTCTAAACTGAACACATTTCTCACTCACACGTAACGCTACCACGGCACGACAGCTCTTGTAGCAACATATACATTTATCGGACTTCAGGTTTGTCTTTAGAACATAGCAGCAGCATTATAGCACTTTAAATGTTGCTTGTGACAACTGAGCCTGGCTTACCTTTCCAAGCGTTAGCAGGATTATGTCCTCATAGCACACATCTGCTGAGCTCCGAGCAGGATTCTTTGCTTCTGCGTGCAGTAAGCTTCAGCATCTGTCCGTGACTCATTGGAGTTGGTATTTTTTCCAACAGTCTAGGAATTTGTCCTCCCAAATTATGGTGCTCAGCTTTGTGAGAGCTGTTACTGACTTGGTACAGAGTTGAAGCAGTGGCATCACTTTTGGTGATCTTAAACCCCATTCTGTCACGCCAGGGAAACCGTGCTACTCCCTCTGCCCTAGTTTAGGAATGCAGTGAAAGGCCAAGTCTGTCTGAAGCTTTGATCAGAGCTGAGAAACCGAGTGTGGCTGCTGCAGGAGGATACTGAAAACAAGTACCCATTAAAAAAAAAAAAAAAATCACCAAATAAGGATGCGAAAGAAAGAACATTGACACAAAGGGATGGTAAGGAAAGTGCAGAGGTGGAGATGTGGTCTGAGAGAGACCTTCAACACTGGCCCCCTCCTCAGACATTTGGGCCTAAAGGGGTAAAATCAAGTTTTCAAAACTACTTAAAACCCAAGTTTTCCTCTGGCATGTTTTGTTTCTGTTTCAGCTGTAGACCTGAGCACGCAGCCAGGCAGATCAGTTTCCCCTGTTCTGTTCCCCCATTTCTCTAATGCTGCAGGACAAATGGGTCTGCCATTTTGAACTTACCTTCTATTTCTCACCTGCTTACATTTTCAAAGGTACTTACATGCAAGTTGTTTCTCTCTAGGGCCTTCTGGAGATGCCTCTTCGAACCACTTTGGGAGCAGTGGCTACGAAAGAGGGTTGGGAAGTAAAACCAAGAGACCAAGCAGTCTCTCCTCAGGAAACACTGCCAAGAAACCACGGACCTGTAGTATTTGCCATCAGCCTGGCCACACTAGGAAAACCTGCCCTCAGAACCATTGAGCCTGGATGGACATCTCTTGTGAGCTTGAAAGGTCCAGGGTTGCGAGCTGCTACAGGAGCAACTACTGCTGAAAGGAACTGGAGCCTAGAAACAAGTCTGTTGAATGCTTTCTGGAAGGGCTGGTTGCAGGCTGCTCCTGCCAAGGGATACCATCCTCACCACACGCATTACGTGGCAGCAAGGGTTCAACCAGCTTTGAGAGGTGGCTCCGTTACTGATGTCAGCCTTTGTTTTCAGCTGTTCTTCTGCTGAGCATACTGGGATAGCCTAAACATTTCAAGGAAGCATTTGGAAATGGAATCTGCAGAGAAAACAGCACTGGATCTAGTCTGCTTGCAGCTCCCGCCGTGGTGGTAGTTGCACACAGCCTTTCTACACGAGTAAGAGCTGGATCGTAGCCGCTAGGACAGACACCAGGGATGCTTGCCTCTTCTCAGTCCCTGGCTGCCCACGCTGTGGAATTTTATTTGAAGTTCCCTTCTAAGTTGATGTTACCCGAGCAACATTCCCCTTTCTTTTTTGTCACAGCACCATACCCCTGACCTTGGTGGTCCCTGCCAGGGAAGAAGAGCCAGGTACAGAGAAGCTGGGTCTGGTGCTTGCCCTGAAAGGGAAGCTCAGCTGCAGTGCTCAGGAAAAGCCTTCATTTTAGACCATTCCTGAATTTGAAGCTGAGTTCTTCCTTAAGCCTTGAGACATGCCTCTGTGATGCTGCTAGCTAATGGAAGTTATTTTTTGTCAAACTAATAAGTTTCTTATTAAAAGATTATTTAATTTTTAAATTTGATACAGTGACATCTTAACTCCGCCTTATTGTTTCTTCCTGCTTAAAATAGTTAAGCTATTACTGTAAAAGCACCCACCCAAATCTTACTCTGCACTCACTCATCACAACAATACAGAAGCTTTCTTGGCAGAAACTCCCCAAAGTTGTTTAGAAGTGAGCTGCAGAGGCTTTTTTTTTTTTATCTCACCAGCTGCATCGGCTGTAGCATTGCTGCTGAGGGACAGACAGACAGCTGGCTGAACTGAAGGGAGGTTCTGTTTTCCTGACTGAACTCCCTGGGAAGCCAGGCTACCTCCTCCCTCTCTGCTGGGGCTTCCTCTGTACATCAAAGCAAGTAGATCCACAAGATTCCTGTCTCCTCCTCTGCTGGAAGACAGCATTCGTTTTTTTCCCCCAGGGCCTCTGACGCTGCTCAGGACCTTACTCCTGGACACAAAGCAGGTCCCCAGGGTCAGTGCTGAAGTGACACGCAGCACAGGGAGCAGCCAGGGTGGGCAGGAGGCTGAAGCACTTTCTAGAGGGCAGCTCAAAGCAGAGGAGACCACAGCAGCACAGGTTCACTTTAAGGTCTGTGCAAGAGAGAATAAAGCCTTTATCTCAGCAGCAGTCCATCGCTACCGGGCCTAAATCTATTGGAGTAAGAACTCAGGCTGCGTTTCCCTGTACCCCTCACTCCCACGATTAACAGCTGTGTCCTAAAAATACAGACCTGCCAACTAAAATAACAGGGTTACGAGGCTTTGTAATGCAATCACTGAGCTGGCGAAAGCACGGCAGAAGCCTGGGCAGCAGCCTCTGAATGGCAACAGCAGCAGAAAGCATCTGTGTAGCACACAGGCACTAGGTTAAACGTTGCTGATGGCATCAGCAGTTACCAGCTTGCCCAGTCTAACCCTGGTCAGCGTTCAGGCAGCTGAGCAGTTGGAGCTGCTGGGTTAACAGCACAAGCTCAGCCTCCGGACAGCTCACGTACCGCAGCCAGGCGCTCTGCGGGTGTAGGGGTTTGGAAGAGGAGGAGGAGGAAGGCTGTGCAGGATGGGGTCTGACCACCACCAGGCGATCCCCTGGGCAGCGCTGGGCGTGCCACCGCAGCTGCAGGATCCCTTCGGCCCTTATCACAGGAAAGGAGACAAAACAGAGCTGACACAAGAGAAGCGGTATAGGCAGGGAAGGTTTATTCTCATCGCTAACACCTGGGAAGCGGTTTAGCGAAACAAACCCAAGTAACCTTCAGACTGGGAGGAAAAGTAGGGTTTTTTCCCCTCCCTTAAATAAAATGACAGCTGTAAAGAAAACTAAACCACAACAGCTGCTCACACTGAAGTCCATAGGATTTCTCCATTTCCACCAGTGTGCGAAACCGGCTCTTCCCATTAAATATAAGAATGCGTTCCTTTGCCCTGAGTCTACAACCAGAACCAAAGCCTACTAGCAGCCATTCAAAGGAAAAAAAAACAAACAACAAAATACCCAAACAAAACATACCTTCTTAATAAAAAGCATAAATCACTTCAGTTCTTGCAAGCGCTCTGCTCAGAGCATCATTCCTGCCCCTTACCATGGGGCTCCAGGGGAACAGGACCTCAAGACAGCAGCAACACATGTATGAAAATGTCACCGGACAGACTGGAAGCGGACGCTGTGGTTCGTTGCAGAGCAGCGAGTACCCACAGATGGACGCTGGCAGCAACTCCACCAAGGGACCAACACCAGGAGCCTCCCAGGAATTGGCAGCTCTCTTCCTGCCACTGCCTTTTTCAGGATGTCTTCCAGCAAAACACTGCGTGGGACAAGGGCCTCAAAGCCCCAGCGCCGTGCCGGAAGCACGCTCCTTCCTTGGGGCAGAGCCGATACTGGCAGAATGAAGAGGCAGGGCTGAGCTCACCCCTTTTGGCAGCTGAAAGGGTTTCCAAAGAATAAACCCCCAGCCCCGTTTGCTATGGCTGTACCTCAAAGTGCCTAGACAACCACCCAGGTCATCACTCAGGCAATATCCTGCAGACGGATGAGGCTCCCACCCTGTCCCAGAAGCTGGCTGAGGGCATGGCACAGTAAGACCAAGTGTCCAATGGGACACTGCACCGCGTGGGGTCTGCAGGACACAGCAGCAGCAGGGAACTGCTCCCTCCCAGCTCCAGCTGGTCTCGGAGCACAGGGGAAGCCCAAGAGCTGGGACAGGCAGAGGACACTGGGAACCAGAGACCAAACATGCTTCATGTTGTCTCCCAACGCCCAGTGGACGGGACTCACCTAGAGGTACTCGAGGTGTGGGCTGCACTCGCTGTGGGTTCAGCACTCCCAGCCAAAGGCTCCTTACGGCCAACACCCCCTCTGCTCAGGCACATTTTATTCAGATGGGATTTTTTTTTTTTTTTTTTCTCATAAAGTGCAAGAATTTTTCCTCTTACTGACTAGTCAACTAGAAGCATTGCAACCCTCACAGCAGGGAGCAGCAGACAGGCGAGGAACACCCTACGT